TCTATCTATCTATCTATCTATCTATCTATCTATCTATCTATCTATCTATCTATCTATCTATCTATCTATCTATCTATCTATCTATCTATCTGATATTTGGCGTACATTTCCATAGCCGTTTCTGAATGCTTCAGCACCACGAAGGTGGACAGCGACTCTGAATGAAATTCCTGCTCCAGAAAGTGCACCGTGCGAGTTTTCTTTCTTTCTTTCTTTCTTTCTTTCTTTCTTTCTTTCTTTCTTTCTTTCTTTCTTTCTTTCTTTCTTTCTCAGCACTGTATTTTTTCATGCCATGGCTGATCATTACTTACTTTAGTCAACGTGAATGCACAGAGAGACAGTAGGTGCTACGACTTTAAGAGTGTGGATCAGTGTCTCCCTCATTGGATTATAGAGGTGGAGGCTGTACGCCAATAGGATTTCGAACTGTACAAAGCAATCTAGTCCCTGCCCCCATTCAGCTTCGGTGCTGTAGCACTGAGAATGCAACGAGCTAGAGGAGAGAGGGAGCAATGAGCTCCTATTTTACAATATGAAGATTTTAGATTTCGGCTTACATCTACGCTCAATAATTTGTGAAAACCGTTCTATGGGAATTACACCTGCGATGACGGATTTCAGGTTGTTTCTATGCACTATGTCGATTGGAATCAATGTGTTATAGCGGACCAAGAATGACAAAGAGAAAAGGATATCGAGACTGGAGATGGCAAGCGCTTTGGTGGCATCATTTCTTTCTCTTGTGGAATACAATAGATGGACAAACGCGTTACAGCATCACAGAGGAACTGAAACAGGGTTCTGTGGTGGGAAATTTAGCCAAAGATCTGGGACTGGGGCTGTCTGAGATTTTTGACCGTAAGCTGCGTATCGCGCCTGAAGCTGGTGAGCAGTATTTCAGTGTGGATGCGGGGAAGGGCGAGCTGGTGGTGAATGACAGAATAGACAGAGAGGCTTTATGCGCACAAAGCGCCAGCTGTGTGTTGCCTCTGCAGGTTGTAATTGAAGACCCGTTGCAACTTTTTCGTGTTGAGGTTGAAATACTAGATATTAATGACAATGCGCCTAGATTTCCGTCAAATGATATCACATTAGAGATTGCAGAATCCACAGTTATAGGGGTTCGGTTTCCCCTAGAAAGCGCCATCGACCCTGATGTTGGCAGTAATTCACTGAAGTCCTACACTCTAAGTAAAGACGAATGTTTTAATATCAGAGTTAAGGAAGTAGCTGGTGGAAGGAAAGTCCCCGAATTAATTTTAGCTAAAGTTTTAGATCGAGAGAAAAAGGCTGTTCACAGGCTTCTTTTGACAGCGCTAGATGGAGGAAATCCAGTGAGATCAGGGACTGCTCAGATAACTATTACAGTCCTCGACATTAACGACAACGTTCCTGCTTTTCAGAAAACGTTATATAAAGTATCTGTTAGTGAAGACGCTGCAGAAGATGCATTAATAGTGCAAACAAAAGCGACAGACCTGGACGATGGTCAGAACGGAGAGATTGAATACTCGTTTGGAGCGCACACGCCAGATGCTGTTCTGTCTGTTTTTACTATCGATCATGTAACAGGAACGATATTCCTTAAAGGTGAATTAGATTTCGAAGCGACTGCAAATTATGAAATAGACATAAGTGCAAAAGATAAAGGCATTCCAAGAATGGAGGGGCATTGTACTGTGCATGTAGAGGTATTAGATGTAAACGATAACGCCCCAGAAATAATACTTACCTCTCATCCAAAGCCAGTGCGCGAAGACTCGCCCAGTGGCACCGTAGTGGCTTTAATCAGTGCCCGAGACCTTGATTCAGGCGATAATGGTAAAGTAACTTTGCAGCTCCCTAAGAAATCTCAATTTGCTCTGAAACCCTCGTTTTCCCATAATTACGCACTGGTAACGAGTAGTGGTTTAGATCGAGAAAACGTCTCTGAATATAATATTGAGATTACAGCCATTGACTCAGGCTCTCCTCCCCTGTCCAGTAAGAAAATTATACCTGTCAGCGTCACTGATGTGAATGACAACCCTCCTATATTCACTCAGCCCTCATATAATGTGTATTTAAAAGAGAACGGAGTACCAGGTTCTATACTGTTCTCAGTATCAGCATCTGACCTGGATTTCGGTGAAAACGCTAAGATCTCTTACTCTATCCTGGACTCTAAGGTGCAGGACGTTTCTGTCTCCTCTTATGTTTA